TTTTTAATTTTTATCGTTTCATCTTTTTACTCCGACATAGATACACCATCCATCCACTCACTCTACATCATATCTATTCATAGTAAGTTCATAGTAAGTAAGCCGTTTAGTTAGTATATATAATAATCTAACAACATAGAGGAGCCTTGTCGTCAAGGTCTGCTACATGTATATGTTGTAGTATGCAAGCTAGGGGCAAAAACAGAAAAAACTAAAAAGATGAAAAAAAGATTGGCGCCACCCGGAATCGAACCGGGGCTAACACAGAATCATGTACACCACAATGTGTCGTCATACCACTAGACCATGGCACCAGAAAGTACAAAAGCTTCGCAGCCTTTTGAAACATCAATGCTCCACCAACGCCTGGTCTTTCATACACTGTCCACACGGGTGTCTTTGCCAGATATGTACCCGGCAGGCACCCGTGGACCCGTCCACGGCCCGGCCCGGGGGGTGCGTACCTACGTACCTAAGTACGTAGTGGTGACCTAAGCAACCCTGTTTGCTGGATCCGGAAGTGCTGTTGCTAAACTCTCCCGGACTACCCCTCTATACCGCGGCTTCAAAATTGTTTAAAAGGTCCTTAACCGCCCTCTCACTGCTTGCTCATATTGCCTCACGCTTATTGATCTTGTCTCCTCGTCACACATTGTGTCTAGACCTTTTAGGGCCTTCAGATACTGTCACGGGACTGCGCTCCGCTACAGATACGGATCCAAAGCGTCACGCTACGGCTAATCCAAAGAAGGTCATCAAAGCGAATTGGGGGGTTGTCAGGTAGTCAGATAGTCAAATGAGTTTTGCTTATTATTGACTTTGACGACCTCTTCGCCGGTTATGATGACCGGGCTCCGTTAGGAATATCAGGGCGCCTTCTTCGGTGATAACCTTGCAAAAATATACTTACCGTCATTCTGTATTGGTATATAAAAGACCATTCAGCCGAGATTATAGAAAGACCATAGTACAGAGAGAACAGGGTAGAAAAGACATACGCTCCAGCCAAATTATGCGACCGTACACTAAATATGAATATGTTTAGCCTAAAACAGGGATCCTTATGGAGGGAATATTTGGATTGTCCTCTGAAGGCAAGTTCCTAAGCCACCTTAGCACCTCTGAGGAGACTGTAGTGGCTTAAAAACCACCCCATTCCCTGTTGGGTATGCCCCGGTAACCTCCCAGTCACCAACCAACGACGGCAATGCCGATAATGAAAAGGAGAGCTATAAGACTGAATTTGCTGCCCAAAAGGAGCTGACTTACAAATGTAAGAAGTATCTAACTCGAAGTCACAGGCAGACCCGGCTAAACTAACAGGTTGAACAAACCTTCACCTCAATGGATGAGCCTACGAAGAGCCTAGATAGGGTCAACTCTAGTCGGTTTCTTACGCATATACTTCAGAAAACCAATGAAGTGCTGTACGATCGATATGGAGACATCCTGAGTCGCCTTGAACAACCTTGGGTAGAAAATGTCCTGAAAACTGTTCTGACCTTTAGAATCAAGTCTCGCTTAGAAGTCATAGAGTCTGGTTTAATTGGTTGGATGAGTACTTTAGCAAGCTATGCAGTCGTTTTCCTGGCTTTAAACCAACGTTCCTTAGGTTGAGAAATCTCGGTAGACACCCTGAGAATGAGAAGGGCCAGGTATCTACTTACATCTTCTTTGGACGCAGGGGAAGATGTTTCGCTATACGTCGGTCAATCACTAAACCTACGTGAGCGAGTTGGAAGATATTGCAATCCAGGATCTTGTAGGAATCATCTGTCACTGAATTATAGCCTCTGGGGCCATGGAAATATCTCCGGTAACACCTAGACCACCCTGTGAAATTTCGAAGCCCTTCTATATCCTAGAATTCCCTTCTTCACATTGGCAGACCATAATCTTTTACTAAACTTTGGAGAAATGCTTATAGCATGCATGCTACAGATACTCCGTAGCGTCGGTTTAATTTTGTTCATACACAATGTTATTGTAAAGCCATGGGTTGGCATGCATCCTAATATGGCACTACCTCCTTTCCAAGGCTTCACAGATGGGGACTCTGACGAGCCTGTCACGCGCGGAGCCTTTACCGATGCTCGCCATAGCCCGAATAGCAACATTCGCAAATGGGCAGAATTTGACAGAAACCCATTCAACGATCTCCGAAATTCCCCTCATTTGTAGCTTCGTGAATCTTGATGACGCAGGTTGGAGGGGGCGGGAGATCTAGTCGCTGCGCCAAAGTGGCCAAGAAAAGAGATACTCATGTACGAGGGTTTTTAGGGACCATCACGATAACCGGTCTAATCGGGCTACGGCCTTCATCACCGTCTTAGTCCTTTGCCTTCGCACGAGAATAGTTAGCTGCTTATACAGCCTTGTTATGTCTTTTTGATAGTCTTTTGGTGGGCTTTTTGGTGGTCTTCCTGCTTGGCCTCATTTCCGCGCCGGACTTTCTTGCTTGGGGTCGGCAAAGGCTGGATGGGGACACGGTCTCCTTTTTGGTAGTCTCTTTGGTGGTCTTTTTTTAGTAGTCTGTTCTATTAGTCTTGAGGTTAAACGTCTTCTAGGATAATTCTTATGTTCATAGATCTTCTTCGCTTTATTGGTGCTACGGCTAGAAGGAGAGGAATTAGCTGATCTGCATGTCTCACACATACTTTCATATGTAACTAAGTCAGATGCCAGAGATCGGTTGCTTATGCCCGGGTACAATTACTGCTGGGCAAAAAACCGGTTGTCGTGATGGCCTAAACTCACTCGCGAACCATATTGAAAAATATGGAAAAGAAAGAAGAAAAAAACGCAAGATCGTCACGACAATAATGTGCATATAATGTGGCACGAGGGAAAAATGGAAAAGACGGGGGCAAAAAGGATGGCGCCACCCGGAATCGAACCGGGGCTAACACAGAATCATGTACACCACAATGTGTCGTCATACCACTAGACCATGGCACCTGTTGAATAATCAAAAATCCTTTTAGTGATTTATCCTTTGTATTAGATTGTTTTCATACTATTTATATGCCTTCCGCACCCACAAGCAAGGGAGACGTCGATAAAAGAGACTCGGGAGTTTGGGTAAAATTAAGAAGGGCTGGCCAACCTCCGCTAGCTTTTCCTGGGGGTGGCACGGTTTTCATTCCTGCGACGGTTGCAATTCCCCTTGAAGGTCGGAGATAGAATTTCCTTTCGCTTACTTCTTTTCAACTCGCCTCAGGCGCTGCCCTGTGCTGGGAGAGCTCTTTCAGAAGACCCTAACAGTAGGCTGGTAACCGCTGTGAGAGTCCAGAAGGGAGGTGAATATCATTGGCTGCTTTTTTCTTCCACGGAACCAGCGATGGAACTCATGAATCCCTTTTTGGTTTGCTTAAAGTGTTAGGCACTTGCTTAATCAAGGCGACTACTCCGCCCGAAAATACCTTTCCACCATAGGTGCGGGCGCAACAGCCATTCTGTGGAAGCTGAAGCTGCAGAGAAGGGGGGCGGTCTCTTAATTATATTCCTCCATAGATTCGAAAGATGATTCAACGGCTGGTATGGAGATGAGCCAATTGGCTTTAAATGCAAAGCCAGAGACTTTCTCGAACTGTTGGAATATGCTTTCTTTGGGGGGGTCAAGACAAACCTCTATGTTCAAGAACTTGAATTTGAGTTGGTCTTTCATAGTCCCTGATATTGTCTTATTATCGTTCAAAGAAACCTTAGGCCCTACCTCATTCTCCAAATTACGCTTATACTTTCCCTTCTGAATCTTTTGATGTAGTATTCTCGGCGGAGATATAAATCCCCTTATAAATTTAACATGGTTCATGTAAAACCAATGAGCTAGAAATATATAACTATACCACACATTTAGGTACGCCAGGAATTACCCGCTAACGTCAATTAGGTATAGCGTGCAGCTGATACCATAAGTGTACTCAGTTGGCTCTGATATCTAGATGGAAACACCACTGTTTTTTAGAGCTAAGGAGTGGCAAATCGTGACTATTTCAACCTTACTCAGTTTACACCTATCGAGTGTTTGTGCAGGAGGCCAGGGTAGTTAGCTACATGGGAGAACGTCGATTTTGGGCATTATCTACATGTATCGCCTCCACCGCTATCTTTATCATTCATCCGTGGACATCTCTCCTGTCTCTGAGCGTGCAAGCGTCAGATACATAGACATCCATCCATCGATCCATGGAAGAATCAATAAACTGGATTACTTAATCGTCTAACTAATCGGTGCCATAACGTATTCGGTAAGCGAGTGGCCATTCCAAGGCTGGAAGCGAGTAGCCATCTCCAACATAGTGAATGCGATAGATTACAACTTTATATTTCAACCACCGCAACTCAATTTAATTTTCACTGTAGTGGTAGGTACCGACGAGCATTTGTAGTAGTACATATCAATGTCGAAGAAATCGAAGACTTACATCGTTGTCGTATCTCCAGAAATATATATATCTCAGTCATCAAATCATTAAATTTCCCGAAACTCCCCAAAGAGACTAGATATCATGTAAAAACCAGTAGGCTAAAAGGAAAGTTCCCATAGACCGCCGTTGTTGAGATATCAAGTTGTAATCTATCGCATTTACTATGTGTTCTGCAGATGGCCACTCGCTTACCGAATACGTTACCTAGATAGTCTACAACATATATCACAGGCGAGTGGAAACCTTCAAAATAGAATAGGATATCTAGCTCTTTTAGAAGTTTGGGTAAATTTGACAACTTGGTGGCTAAGATATATATATTTCTGGCTCACAGCAATGTAATTCCGATACCATATTATTGCAGCTTTATATAAGTACATGTATTTGAGCATGATATCTAGGGTCAAACAAGCTTACCAACAGTCATTTACAAGAAATGAAATGAACAGAAAAGTGGTTGTTGAGACATAAATGCAGAATATATATTGTCTACCCTGGTGTTCTGGTGGTCCCTTTATACGGTATATAAACGAAAAGAAAGAAGAAATCGAAATCTGCAAAACCTTCGTACTACCTGGTGCCATGGTCTAGTGGTATGACGACACATTGTGGTGTACATGATTCTGTGTTAGCCCCGGTTCGATTCCGGGTGGCGCCATTCTTTTTCTTTTGCCTTTTTTTCCTACTTTCGCTTACGCTGCGATAACTAGTATGACATATATGAGGAGACACCTCGGAACAACTAGGGTGTAAAATCGACGCATACGCTTCAATTTGATACATATCCGTATATGTAAGAGAGGTATCCCTTTTTACTGCCTTTGAAAGACCCATAAGTGACTTGAATAGAAAA